ATTATTCTAGCGTACAATAAAGTTTGTAAGTGTAATTATTGCATGCTGTTAGTCTAACTGCGTATTGAATAAAATGTTCACAGACTGACTATTGAGTATCATTTTCGATTTGTTACTTTATACAACGGTATGGTGTCAGTTCTAGTCATATTAATAGCCATTAGTTAGGTGTTTACCTGGACATCAAGAATTTAAACGAGTTAATTAATCAAGAAAATTTTTAATTATCAGAAAATTTGTTTAGCGATTCCGTTGAAAATTCTTGTCTCTGGTTACACGTTTCCACATTAGCGCTGCAAATTTTCGTCGGGTAGACTTGCTTTGGTCATGAAAAATATAGTCCTCATCGCTCATTCCTCATCATTCTGTGTAGTTTTTTTAAAAAGCAACTACAGAGATGTCTCAATGAGTGCGATATACTTGGGTCCACTTCAGAGCATTCGTGTGCCCCAGTGGTGAAAATAACACCCTTGCTCGTGTCGCATTCATCGAGGCATCACTGCACACGATAAGCGTGTTAAGAGTTTACTCCAGCTGGATTTACTGTAAGACTACTTTTGTAATTTTTATTAATAAACATAAAAAATAATGCTTCAAATAATTAATAGTGCATTAAAAATAATAATGTTAATTTATGAGATTTACATATTGAAAGCCGAATGAATTGACGCCATAGTACCGAGATACGCAGCCGAATGATGCCACTTCTTTGATCACCTACAAATTCACCCACAAAGAAACCATTCCTTTTCTAGAAGCGTAATTTAATTTAAGTATATTACACTTTATTTAAAAAATAAGTGAAAAAAGAAGTTTTATAGCTCGCAAAGTGCGGCAGATTCTTGGAACTTCCGGTCCGACATCGAATATCTCAAAACCGCCAGCCGATACTACCACTTCGTCCTACAAATGTTCATCCAAGGAGAAAGCCATGCGATTCCACGCGATCCAGTTGAAAGTCACCCGTAAACCCGATCGATCGTGAACTTGCCGCAAGGCCGGGGTCATCGAAAGCCCCGGCCTTGACCTGTGGAAGAGTCACGTAACGATGGACTTGGCCGTGAAAGAGGAAGAAGGAAGCGGCGTCGACGACCTCGATGAAGGCAGCAACGATGGGGGAGAAAGTGTAACCGATCCGAAGAGCTCGAAATCGAAAGTAATTTCCTCCATCCCCGGTCTTTCTCCTTTCTCCGTTCTAACGGAGAGGCCACCACGAACGATTCTTTCTCCCAGCTCGGTGGATCCAGGTCAAGTTCACCGACTCTGTCCGAGAACATTGTCCTCCACCACCTCCTCTTCTCTTTCTCGCTTCACTTTCCTACCATCACTCGCTTTTCCCTTCGCCTCAGCAGCCGTCCCGATCATTTTCCCGCGAAACGATGGTCGACTTAGTCTGGCCTAGGTCTGGTTTAGACTACGAACTATGCTGGCGCGGTGTCGTAACTGACGGGCAGTTATTATGTCAGTGTCAATGGCACCGATCCGCGCGGCACCACGGACGACAGCCAAGCAAGCGCAAACACGTCAGGTAAGAGTTACGTCGCTAACCGCGCGGTTCGCTGAACCAAAATCCCTGCCATCTGCCGGGTGAACCAAACTGAACCAATGCGAACCCAGCTGGAAACGCGCCGTCTCGAATATCTTCTCCGAGACCACTGTCTGGTGGACTAGAACGAACTGCTTTACAGTCGAACCTCTCTCCGTTGCCTACCACGGACGAACTTCCTCGCGTCGCGAATATATTAAAAGACGTGCACGCAGACGTCTTTCAGATGCGTCTCTGGGACGCGTGGGATCGTGAATACGGAGGCGTCAAGTCATTTTCACGAGGGGTCGTGAAAGCCGCTTCGAAAAGGACGAGATTCACGATGAAATCGAAGCGGTCGAGCCCCCGTCTGTAATCTATCATCATAGAAGGTCGAAATGAAATTTCTATTTATGTAGATAATTTCGTGAGCGTTTGCTATGTGCGTCAAGTTAGTATTAGGATTTGTTGTTATGCGAAGATTTGTATAGGTTATCGTTTAATTTTTAAATATATGCAAATAAAATTGAATGAAACACTTGCTATTTTTCATTTATTCATTCTCAATGTATTGTGTAAGACTAATACCAATGTTTTCTAAGATTCGAAAGTTTTTATTCGTCATAGTTTTTGTAAATTTTTCTTTGAGATCTAATGAAAATATTCATGCTGGCAATATGCTTATTAGCATTCTAGGAAAAGGTTACAAGATTCGACATTAATATTACTGCAGAACTGCATTATCTCTGTACTTAAAATGTGAATATGCTTCTTTTCTTACGAACTGTAAAAAATGTCCTATAGTACATGTCTATACAATACATGTGTATAAATGTAATTACAGTTTCGAATGAGATCGGATTTAAAGAACTTAACTGTATTCTATTTCGGTAAAATAAGAATGCGTAATACGAATAGACACTAGTTTCTTGGAAAATCGTCCTCATTAACTGGATTACTTCTAATAACGTCATAAAATGAATTTCAAAAGAAACTCGTAAACTCTAAGAAAAAATTCAAATACGTGATAAATGAATTCGTTTCATAATAAGTACCGTTGATTTAATTATCAAATATATCGTAAAAGTTACAGTAAATAACAAGAAGCAGTAATGGTGTAATGAGTAAGCATAACTACGCTCAGACTGACCATATACTTTAAATAATAAAAATATCCACTAGTATAATTGCAAACTAAGAACTAGTATGAAGAAAGAAGTCTTCTATAAGAAAATGATCACATTCGGCAAAAAATTAATCACGTCTGTGTGCGTAATTTTTTCGAATAAAATCTGTAACAGCTAAGAATGTAATAACTAATCTACCTCGCTACCAACAAAGGGTACAATATTTAAAATCCGCATAACATTCGTACCGAGAATGTATCATTTATCAAGCACCTAAACGAAACGATCAGTACCACTGCTTGAGAAACTCAAAACGGAGAGCAACGAACGAACCTGAACTCACGGAATCTAAATGTTTCGGAGAATTCCGGGGTAAACCCCGACGTAGATCCTTCTATCTCTCTGAATTGTAGAAAGTATACGGTATCGAAGGTTAGGACTATAGAGAAAATAAATAAATGGAAACTTCTGACGGAGATCAATTCGTCGTAGTTCAAAGATTCAAGGAACGGTACCAAAGCAGAGACGTTCCGGGAACTTCGAACGGTGCCGATTCGTTTCAAGAACCGTAGAATCTCGCCCCCCCCCCCCCGTGTTAATCAACGTGCTGACCAATAGTGAGTCAGCGATTTCAGTATCCAACGGCATTTACCGGTCCCACGGACAAATATGTCAAAATGGATTGCCGTTCAGATATTAACATAATTTCGACATCGTCCTTAGATGCCGGATACGCTGTCCATGAATCATACGATGATCATGGATATACCTTAAGATTTTACTTATTCTACATTTTCAATGCACTTTCGTCGAATTCCTACGTCGAGACATATACATCTGGATCATGGACACCAGTCATCGAAAACGAAATCTGATTAATTGAATTATACGAAATTAGAAAGATGCGTGAACGTGTGATTCAAACTTTCATCGAACACAGGCAGCATTGGTGGATCGGTACCGAGATTTCGATGGTCTCGAATCGAGTAGCCCGCCGCGAACTTGCTACGATCAACGGATGATCAACGGAAAAAGTCAAAAACTCCGACCAAAAACAAGATGCGCTCGCAACGACGTGCGGAACGCGAATGCGCGACGCCAGGCAAAGTCCGCGGCTCCTGCGGCTGTTGCGCAGACACGATTGCGCAGCCGGCTAGTACCGGCTCTCTACGGTGACTCTTCCTCGTCCTCTGACTCCGGCGTGCGAGACCGACCGACCCTCGAAGGATCCACGGCGCGGTGACGTGCCGCCCGACAGGATAGGCGCTCGAGACTACGGTCGAATGTATCGAGCCGAACGGCGAGACATGTACCCTTCAAATTCCCGTCTGGGATTCCTTCGACAAAAGGGTTACAGAAAAATGAAAGAGTAGAATAAGAAGAACCGAGTGTGCCGTGGAGTCAGAGACCCGCGGACGCTCGGTCGGTGGTTGAATTACCGATGGTCGAAGGGGGAACGGACGGGAGTCTCGGGTGGAGAGAAACAGGGAGGTGAAAAAAGGAAGACGTTCGTAAAGAGTGAAACGCACGGTTACGCGCGAAGGGGGAAAAGAGAATGAAGAAAAGATTGAACCGAGAAGGGAGAAGGGCTGGGAGGAGAGGGAGAAAAGAAGAGAGAGAGAGAGAGAGAGAGAGAGAGAGAGAGAGAGAGAGAGAGAGAGAAGGAGGATAACAGGAACACGAGAGAAGAAGAGAGGATGGGTCCGGTGTAGCCGACGGGCACACACATCGGCTCCTCTCCCTCGCCAATCGGCGCGCGCGGCGTGGGGCGAGTTTGAGGTAGGGGGCCGCACGACGCACAGCGGTGGTGGCGGTGGCCTGCTGCGGCGGCGGCGGCGGCGGTGGCGGCGGCGCGACTGCCAAGGTATTTAAGGTACCGTGAACCGGCGGCGCACGAGTAGTTCACTTCTGTTCGGTGCGGTGTCGCGGTGATTTTGAGGGGACAGAACGAGAAAGAGAGGGACTGGGATACCGGGAGACGAAACACGCTCTGAACTCGCACACGCTCGTTTAGAGGGTGCGAGAGAGGAGCGAGCGAGGAAGAAAGAGAAAGACTAAAATCATTTCGGTGTGTCCCCTGGTCCGACGTTTTGTACGGGTAACCGATCGTCCTCCCCCACCCGCCACCCCCGTTTCGTTTTGGTAGTTTAGATTGGTTCACGCGAAGGACGTTTCCCCGTCGAGCGAACCTTCCGGTCAAGTGCGACGAGAGTTCATCCGAGAGCCCCGAAACGAACAGTCCGCGACACGGGTTCTGGCTTCCTTGACTCACGATCGAGCCGTCCGTGCGCCCGGAGGAGAACACGTCGTTGGAAAGGATCGTCAGAGTCGTCCATCGTCGACGATCGTCCTGGATAGGTAAGTCTCCCATCTCGAAAACCAGTGAGGACTATTCTGGTGCGTTGAAAACCACCCTGCGAACAAGGGTTGGACAAGTGTACGCGACACGTATGTACGCGCGCGCTGCTTCGCGGCTTCTCCTCGTATATACTGGTGATATCAAGTGATCAAGATCAGTGATTCTGTTGCGCTGTGCTGATGCTCACGATATCAAGGACAAGTCCGCCTGTTTCTCCTCGTCGTCGTCGTCGTCGTCGTTACTCCCCGTGGATTTTATGGACTGTGACAATATGTGCCTCGCCACGGGATATGTCTTGATCTCAAAAGTGTTCTCTCACCGGAAGTATGTGCAAGAGAAGAGTCGGTTCGATTCGTCGGGCCGACGACTAGCTCCATGCCTGAGAATAGTGCGTAGAGAAGTGATCCGTTTTCGAATCGCGATCAGGATTGGGATCGACGTGAGCTATTCGGGAGCCATTGATAAATCGAAATGTCGGGTGCACAATAGTCGACGGACGCGTCGGAATTACACCTGTTACGCGTACGAGCTGCTCTTTCGGATTCGAAATGACTCGCGTTCGGTGGATCTCCGGAACGGTTGCGATCGAATCGAATTCAACGGCGGGCAGCCGATCGTTTAACTCGCATGTTCATGCATGCGGTCACGCGACGATGGACCGGTCGAACTCCGTGAAACAGAGTCAAAGAGGGCCCGGGCCTAAATAATTCAAACCGGCGTACAATAGGGTATGCGTGTCGACTTACAGCCGCGAAGGCCTAGTCGGACGTGCACGAACACTACGTACAATTAGGAGACAGTGTCTGAATACCAACAAGGTAGTATCGTTAACGACCGTGTTCCTAAATTACTTCGAAAAGAGAGAGAAAGGGTAAAAGAAGAATCGAGACCGTCCGGGAAAGAATTCTCTACGCTCCGTTCTACACACGGACCGTCGTACGAAACCGTTTATTAGATCGAACCGTCGAAACCTCGGGAGTTATACGCGTAGGTCCGGATCCAGCCGAGGTCCGATCGTTCCGTTCGTTCCGAACAAAGGGGAAGGGGCGAACAGCCGAAATTGTATCGATTTTCCCGTGGCTGGACCAGCCGGAATATAAAGCAGGGTCCGCGGGTGGAACGCACGCCGACATAATGAGTCAGAAAGAATTCCAGGGATCGGAGAATAATGGATCGTTCCCCGTGAACGACGCGGGCAACAGAAACGAAAAATATAAACCAGGAGAGGAGAGTCCTATACTTATAGCAGGACCCCTTTTGTGGCCCTGTTCGCCGCGAACGATTCTTCCATTCGATGGGAATGGGCCGCCGGGTGACGACGCCGCGCGTGATCGAGCATCGAACTCCTGCGGTGAATCGAATCTCTTTCGACGGACGCGACGACGAGGAAAGATCGGTGCTCGGAATTAATTGTAAACACGAGCTGCGATGCTTCCACTGTTGGAACGCGGATCGTTCCGTTCCGTTCGAAACGGATGGAATCCGCTAACGGAGAGGTGGCGATGCTCGGCGAGAGAACAGAATAGAGGAGAATGAATTTGTCACGGTCGAAGTACGCCGGAGAAGTCGCGATTGCATTACGATCCATGATCACGATCATGTCGACGAGAGCGTGAGCGCCAGTATACGTGTGTGCGCGGGCGAATCACCCCTCGCCAGGAAACGGCCGGGGATTTTCTAATCAACGATTTACTCGGCTACACCTACGCGGCTTATAAACGCCACGACCGATTAATTATGCGACCATTAATTATCGCGGGGAACCTGTTGTTTCTATTTCACGCGGTAGGAATTTCCGTGGATACGCCGGGGAGTCGATAACCCTGAGTGTATTTGGATGCAACTCCTGTTCGGTGGTTGTAATATGGCATAGTTGAAGACTAGTGCGGCGACGAAATCGGGAGCGCATAACGGGCTAGGTACCGTTTCGACACCGAAAAAGTAGTCTGGTCTCGATTTCTGGATGAAGAGAGTGACTAAAGTTGCTAATCCGCGGTAAGCTATGTGCCTCGAAATTATTTGTTCGAGGCAGTAACTATACGTTTACAAAGCTAGGCAAACGCACGATATAATTTGTTCGTATTCAGCTTTGTCTTAAAAAACCATTCACTATGAAGCTGGATCTGGAACGTTTCAGACACTAAAATGGACATTCTATAAATTATTGTTTTTATACTTTCTGAAGTCTGATCTACGAAATTCATAGATTTTCTCGAGAATTCAGGTTTTCCACTTATTTCCTAGAATTTACGTAGATGGTTCTGAGCAAGTTATAAGATGCTTTTATTCGGATCGATCGTTTTGCGGAATGGAATTGTAATCAGTGGAAGGAGATCGTCTCGAAAGAGAAAAAATTCTACTCCGCGATTACGAGCGTACAATTTGCATGCGTATTTCCTTCATCCTCTGTACAATACGCTGATTACCCGGCTTCTTGCCTACGGTTCAACCGGCTAATTGCTAATTACTAAACGCTAATTACCGAGACCGTCTTCTGGCCGTGTGTTGCGGGGAATCCGGTGCTCGTTAGACGGGACAACGAAAATGAAATAGAGTAATGGAGTGTAAGTAAGAAGCGATCCAAGGCACGCGAACAGCGAGCAATCACCGTGGAGAATCGATTCTCCGGGTTCGCTTGATTGCAATTGATCGTGGAAGAAAGGGAAAAAGATTTTTGCATAACTACGATCAGAATGATTCAAACGTGAGCTATTACGTACCACGAAAACTCATAAATAACAATACTTTGATCTCAATGAAAATATTAGCAATTTTAGAACGGTAATTGCGGATTATTTAACTTAAAAGAATAATAAATTTAGTACTTATTTATTAGTAAACGGAATCGACTGTATAACATTGTTTTATGTTGTGCAAATATCATGATTATAATCGACGTATCCTTTCTCATTAATGATATGTAGTCTTTGAAACAACAACTTCATACTCAAATTAATAGTCGCTTCAATTATTCGACCGTTGCAAATTTGTGGTAAAGCGGAACTCAGGGAAGATAGAATATTATATTGGTTAAAAGGAAACGGAGAAGTTGAATTCTCGTTTCCAAAACAACCGAGCTGAAGTCCGCCATTATAAATCGAGGGACATAGTGCACGGTAATTGCCAGGCATATTTTTCTTTTCTTCCCTTTAATTTCTGCTTCCTGAAACGCTTAGCTCTCTTGTCGCTGGTAGTTTGTTAGTTCGATTCCGCGAGCCCTGAAAACGGTGTCGCACAACTTCTTGGCACGACACGCGATCAGTAATGGCGTGCACAGGATTCCCGAAGTCCTCGCTCGGTGTTCCCTGCAAAGTTACTCCAGTTCCCGAGCAACCGATGCATGCAGAACCGGGCGATTAGCGTCATGGCAACCGATTTCCTACCAAAAATATAACAGACACCGCGATCGTAGTGAAAGTATGAGCCTGTAATCGTTGCGCAAGAAATTTTCGTTGTGTGATGTTCGCACAGCGGCGGTGGCGACGGCCCTGTGCGTTCGGTTCTTCGCTCGAGCAGTCGTTTGGATCACGTAGACCCACACGAAACGGTAAAAACCCGAGAGATGACACGAATTTGGGTCGGGCGACCGTCGCGCTGCTTTTGGGAAAGGACAAAGAAGTGCTTTCAACTTCTTCAGCATTGAAAATCTTTATCAAATTATATTTCCATCGATATAAATTGAATAAACTGTCACTAAGAATTATTGGATTCCAGGCTCTAAATTTTAATTATTTCTTCAATTTTCTTCCTTTTAATATGAGTTGTGTGAAAAGTCAGTAGGAATTATTAGATTCTGGATTCTGAATTTCAACCCTTTATCGGTATTCGAAAATCAGAATCATAATTAAGATTGACAGTCTGCGCAGACCTTACGAACCGATGCTTTTTAAAATAATCTTTGCTTACGCGAGAATAAGTAATCTGGTTTGGTTTATTCTCCGTCAGTCGCGTATTTGGCTTTGTTAGCGATAACGTTCCGCTATTTTGCAAACAAGTTTTGAATACCTTCACGGAAAAACTGCGTCTTTGATGGAAAATGTTTTAATAATCTGAATACACAATGATTCATAAAGTTAACATATTTCACGTATCTCTTGTCCCACTTTTACGTTAATGTATCAGTGTTAAATCAATGGAATTTAAATTTTCAAATCCATTGAAATGGGATATAACATTTTAATTCAACTGGAATATATTTGTGTTTTCACCTCGTTATTTTCAATCGAATGTTTCATCAATTTGGAGTTGTTTCTTTAGGTCTAATTTTATTGTTACCGTTGTATCTAAAAGTCTCGTCGAGCATGAGCTGTTACATCTCAGTCGTTGAACTCTGTGGCTCATCTTTTTGAGCGTCGAACTGTTTAAAACCTATCGCACATCAAAAGAGCTCGTTCCATCGACGTGCTGAATAACCTTTCAAAAAGGAAGATTTCCTCGTCGGGCAGAGGCTTGGCCGGTATTGAAAAAAGAGCTATTAAAAATATCGAACACCGGAGTCTCGGCCCATCAGCCTGTGAAATTCTATATTCGCCGTGCCAGGGAAGCTGAAAAGCATCGATCAATTATTCATTCGCGGTAAACGTTGACGACCGTAAATTCGAAAATTTCCTCTTAGTCTTCGAAGAATTTTCCGTCATTGGAAAAACAGATTCATAACGAGTGTTTCCTTCTCAACGGTTTCCTTAATCCCAGATTGACACTACGGCTGCCATATGTTATCGACGTATGAGCGATGCAACTCTTTATAACAATTAAAAAATTAATAAACAAAATAGTGTAACAAGTAAACATCGTGATAAATTTTAATTGAAATTAAATTAAATTTTAATAGAAAATTTATAATTGATATATTATTAAAAATAATGTGAAAATTTTAGTAGGCTGCTAATATCTCCTAAAATTTCAGATTTTGTATTACCGGGCAAACTAATAAATTAACAACTCCCACCACTAAATTTCGATTTTTGGATCGTGAAGATCGTCAGTTAAAATTTAATGG